TTCCCCAGCCAGCCATGCTGGCTGGGGAATTCTGGGAGTTGAAGTCCACGCGTCTTAAAGCTGCCGAGGTTGAGAAACACTGTTTTAGTGGGTGATCTCGTAACCTCAGACAGGAACTATGGAGAACTTTTTTGTTGGGCAAACGCCACTGGAACGAATGGGGACTGCAAGGGAGGTTGCCTTGGTGCGTGGGGCCTTTGGGATACGGCTTTAACGGCTTTTCCCCCATTCGAGCCTTACGGGCTTGCGTTCAGCATGCAGAAGGACAAAGCAGCTGCCGAATTTATCCGCCAAACCAGCAAGTATCCGAGAATAAGGCTAAACAGCTGCACATTTGGTCGTCTTATATGCAAGTCCTCTCATTCAACGGCACTGCGAGTTTAGTGAAGGATTCCCTTTCCAAGCATGGCTTCCCCTGCCACGATGGGGCCGAAGAGGTCCATTTTTTGCAGCTACGTCTCTGGCCTGGTCGCCTAGAGGCGATTCTTATTTCCAACCCAGGCAAGGAGGCACGGGGCTTACCGCAATGCACTGCCTCATGATGCACGACTGCTTCATCCGGCCAGGCCCACCAAATTTCTTCATGTCCTTGCAGAAATGACATTCGCCGCACTCCGTCCTCAAGCAGGCCTCGCACTTGCGACATCGCGTCCTCCTCCGGCGTGCACCTGCAGTCGTCCGATTCGTTGCAAGCTTCACAGCCGAGGAGGGACCCAATTTCCCCTTGGGCCGTCCAACGGTCCGGTTCTGGGGAAGACAGGTGGCAGAATGCCACAGTTAAAGTCTTAAATGGTCGCTACCTTCCATGCATCGTAGTCATGGTTATGAAGCCGGTCCTTAAGAACTTGCTCCGGGTCTGGCTGATCCCCTTGGAGGAAGCCTTGTAGGGACAAAGCAGACGTTACGACTTGTGATAACCTTTGGGTACAAGTTCCTGTTTCTGGAAACCCAAACTGGCAGCTTTTCTGAGTTGGGATGATACGGTAAACCACAAAATGTGATTAAAAGGCTGCGGGCAACAGAGGCCGCCCAGTAACACAGCTCTTTGGCTTCGCCATTGTACAAACTCAGCCACACGGACCCAGCTCCGGCCCCAAATAAGAGGTGGGCCGAGTAGCCGTCAAGAATTGCTGAGTTCGTAGAGAGGCAGTTTGAAAAGTATGAATACATGATGGAAGGATAAAAACATGCCACAATATGGCTGTCATGAAGAGGGAGAAAGATGGCCGACCATCTTTCCAACGGAGTCCATGTGCCAGTGCTAGAAATGTCCCTTCACATTAGCCGAGACAGGCTGCATTCACACCTTATGCTAAGTCATCCACAGTTGGCTGTGGGTGGTCACAGTTTATGTTTTGCAATAAGTGTGAACTCAGCCACTGCGGTTTATTCAATATTATTTATTTTATTTTATTTTATTTTATTTTATTTTA